GTAGTCTTAGTACCGGTAGAAGTAGTAATATAGCTGGTAGAGGTGAGAATAGTGCCGGTAGAAGTAATTGTAGCAATAGTAATAGAAGAAGTACTAACAGTAGTAGTAGTAGTGGTAATAATGGCAGTCGTAGTCATAGTCATAGTACCGATAAAAGTGGTAGTAAAAGTAATAGTAGTAGTATCGAAGGGGGTAAAGTTAATAGACAAAACTCTCACCACTGCGATCTTCAGGCTCGGTTCCTTGTAGGAAAAGAAGAAGTGGGAGACAAGAGTGGAAGGAATAGTTTATTCTGTACAGAAGGTGTGGAAACTAGGCTTGCCACTTGGACAGGCCTGCGTCCGGCCATAAGGCCGACATCTGAAGTGTGAGAGCGTAGGGTCACCACAACCGCTTACAAAACGGTCTTTGTTTGAGTCAGCCTCGGGAAGATGATTGGCTAGACCGGGATAAGCTGACATCAGTATGCATGCGTGTCCAGTCGCGAGGGGCCAACAGTTGAACGTTGGTGTGTGCGCACGGTAGCCACTATGCGGGACTGAGCTTTGACGCAGTTTGCGCCAACCAAGGCCGAGTGGCCGAGACTGCCATCACGTGACGTCATGTCTGGCGTGTCGCCGGACGTGAAGTGAATGCAAAATTGATAGTAGGAATGTCAGTAGTAGAAGTTATCATAGTATCGGTATTAACAGAGCAGTAGTAGTAGTAGAGATATAAGTAGTATCGCAGTAGCTTGAGTGAATACTTAAACTCCTTGCCGCTGCGATCTTCAGGCTCGGTTCCGAGTGGAAAGAGGGGATACGTGAGACGTGAGGAGGTGAATAAATAGAGGAATTTGACTGCCGGGAGAGCATGCGTCTGCATCCGAGAGGGGCCGCGTCCGAAGTATGAGAGTGTGGGAGTCAGCACAGCGTCTACAGTGTGGTCGTTATGTGAGTCAGCATTGAAGGTGATTGGCCAGACCGGATTTGGGTCAGCCTTGAAGGTGACTGGCCAGACCGCAAGGGGGTAAGTAGGCGTTGGCGCATGCGCACGTATTAGCAACCACAAGCGTTCGCGCTGAATGGTGTCATTGCAGTAGTAGAAGCAGTAGTAGTATTAGTTATAGTACTAGTGAAAAGGTTGAAGTATCAATCGCAGCAAGTAGAAGAGACACAACAGCATTGCTTGTAATGGTAATATTGTCAACAGTGATGTGGCCATCGATTTCGATCAAGTCTACCATGTGCTCAGGAGCAGGGGGGGGGTGACTGGAGACAGAGACGAGAGAAAAGTGAAATGGACGCGCTGCTGTCTACCTCACTCTAAACCCTTTCACCGCTTGACCCGATGACAAGACGAAAGTCAGGATGACCGAGCAGGAATCGGGTGAAGGCCACTTTCGCCAATGCAGGACAGAACACCGCCTACTTAGTCTTAAATGGCAGTAGGCATTTGCGCTGGTACTACCGCACTATTTACCTTCACTCACCTTCAGTAAGTGTCAAGCCAGACTCAAGGAAATCAAGGTTGGTACTGCCAGTGCTATTTCTAATACAAATAACTAGGGATGTAGTTGAGTGATAGTATTGCTGTACTATTTCTGACCAAATTATTAGCCAGAAGTGACGCTAATTAGAGCCGGCACTGGGCTCATATCCCCTCAATCTCAACAAGAAGTGTAGTAGTACTAGTACTAACACTGACCTTACCATTTGTCAGAGATGCCGCTGATTAAGCCAACGCTGGGACTCATACCCCCTTGATCTCAACAAGGAATGTGAATCTGGGTTCAAACTATTCCGGATAAGTGCATGATTGGAGCCCTGAGCACAGAAGACCTTTCTTTGGTTTCCACCCTCTCAACTCTATTTATCAGGCTGTATCAGTTTCTACTAGTTTCGGACTGTGATACTGCAACAGTAATAAGCAAAGAAGACAAGTTAGTAATATTAGTTTTTATTACTGTATTATTATAGCTAGTAGTTGTATTAATCATGACCCTATAGTGAATAATAATATGCATCTTTGGCGTGTTCGTACTAATATGAAATACAGCGTCAGCAGTAGTATTTATATCTTAACATAAACACAGTCAACTCAATCAAATTCAAGAGAGTTTAATTCACACACTGCGGGATCGTAATTAGTCAGTTGAGGGAAAATATGACGTCTATCGTCAACATATTTATGCTAATTTCAACAGCTTCTCTTAAGTACGGTTCATTCTGTCTGGCACAGCGAGAATCCACTGAATAGGCCATCTTCCCCATCATTAGCACGCTCAGAAAAAAAACAGTCTGCTTTCCTAGAGCAGCATAGGCTGTGAATGCTAGGGTAGAGTATTATTGTTGACAGTCTCACTTACCTACCGGAAGTGAACGTTAACCCGGGTGTCCTACAAATCAGCCCAAATGAATTTTATGACGCGCATAAGCTCATATTCACATCTCTTATGCTTGTTGCAATAACAGGATGCATGTCAGCTATTGAAACAATTGAGGGAATATATTACAAGAATATACTATCCGCCGGTCTTAGTAAGTATGATTACTAGAATTAGCACTCTTAGCAGTGGCATATTACCTCTAACAGCAGTGTCCTAGCCCAAACTTGTTAAAATGTGACACAGCTTTTGGTGGACAGAGGTAAGAGGGCGGAAACCAATGAAAGCCCTGATGTGCTACGGGCCTCAGACATGTAGTTACCCGGAATAGCGTAAATCCAAATCCACACTCCCTGCTGGGACCGAGGGGTTATGCGTAAACTTTCTGTAAAGTCCAAGCTACAAAAAGATACTGAAATAGGTCTATGGATGGTCCATGGAGGGCAGAATTTACGACAAACACACATGGTAGCACTTGTGCTATTATGTAATAACGCTTTATTTAACCCATAAGCTAAGTAATTTTCCTCATACTGGGTGACGAATTCTAAAAAAGAACACACAGGCTGCATTATAGTATATTATATACTGTCCTTAGTAAGCATGATTAATAAAATTAGCACTTTAACATAGGCACATACATCTAACAGCAGTATCGTAGCCCGAACCTTGTGGAAACAGACACAACCTGATGGATAGAGTTAAGAAGGGTGGAAACCAAGACAGGCTCTGCTGTGCTCAGGGCCCCAGATTCACACTGCTTGGTGAGATCAAGGAGGTATGAGCGCCAGCGATAGCTTTAATCAGCGTCATCCCTGACAAATGGTAGCGACAGTGTTAGTGCCAGTACTACTAAGGCGCATCTACATTGCCAGCTAGTAGTAGTACAACTAGTAGAGATAGGAGTTGCCGTATCCGGCTCGGCTTTATTGAGCCTGCCTTTGATACCTACCGAAGGTGAGTGACGGTAGATAGTGCTGTAGTGCCCACGCAAAATCTGGCTTGCATAGGAGAAAGCGGCCAACGCCGGATCCAATCTGGTCTTTTTGACCTACGGTGAAAGTGAAGAGCGCAGATGGCGCCGACTACGTCTGCTTTGACTTTAATCTACCCCTTGTAGCCAGTCACCGTCACTGAACCAACCTGTTGGCCTATATGGTGGACTTCATCGAAATCGATGGTCGAAGTGTAATCATCACCCTAAGGTAGTACTCTTAGCGCAGTGGCTTATGTTACTAGTTAACACGCTTGCCGCTGTGATTTTTGGACCCAATTCCATGTGGGAAGAAAAGCAGCAAGACTTCAGATGGGAGTGATAGTGTATTCTGTACGGAAGTAGTACAGAATAGGTTGGAGGTAATTGAGTGTGTCTGCACCCGAGAGGGGCGGTGTCCAAAGTGTGCGAACGTCGTAGTGGGGTCCTGTGCGAGTCAGCGTCATGATGGTGATTAGCCAGACCAGATTGGCGTAAACGCACTTACTAGCAGCTGCAGGAGTTTGAAAATCGGTACAGTTTTGCGGC